TCCTAGTAGATGACTTCGACAGGATGACCCTTTATCACCATTTCTGTTCCTCTTTGTTACACAAGGCTTATCGTCTATGTTTCGTAAAGCTTAATTGTAAAAGCAATACGAACTTCACAGAATGGACCTCGAGTGTCCCATTTATTGTTTGCAGATGACAGTTTAGTATTTCTTAAGAATTCAACAATTGAAGCTACTCGAATAAAAGAGATGTTAAGTATTTATGATGTTTCTTTCAGATAACAGATAAATTTGGCTAAATCTGTTATTTACTTTACTCCAAATACAATCATGCAGCACTGTGCTTAAATTACGAGCATCTTTGGAATACGAAGAAGTTAGCACATTCAGACACTATCTTGAACTACATGTACATATTGGTAAGAATAAAACCCGAACGTTTGGCTACTTATGTGACAAGATACTGACGAGAGTAACATGTTGGGTGAAACGACTTTTATCATATTGTGGTGGGGAAGTGTTTCTCAAGGCAGTAGCTCAAGCTTTACCCCAATACGCTGTCATGTTACTTATCATCAGAGCACCTGTTGAATGAAATTACTGGTATTATGTGTCATTTTTTGTGGTCGGGAAAAATATTTGAGTGTGGATGGCCTTTAGTAGCTTGGAATACTATTTGCAAGCCTAAGCGAGTTGGTGGATTAGGTTCAGGGATCTACGGTTTTTTAATTTAACTATGCTAGGCAAATAGGTATATATGCTCATCAAAGAATCGAAATCGTTGTTTGCTCAGGTGCTCTGTGTGAGATACTATCCAATTAGAGATGTTCTTAACGTGAAAATAGGTAATAAAATCTCATATACGTGGAAGGGTTTTCACAAGGCTTTACAAGCCCTGTCCACAACATTTTTCTGGTGAGTGGGATACAGTAGTACCGCATGATTTTTTAAAGATAATTGAGGTATTTAACCAATAAAATTTATAGGTGCCTACGACAACGACGAAACCCATAAGACATGATGTGATGATTTCGTGTACAAGGATCGGCCACGTTGAGACACAGATAAGGTAGAGGCCTTCTTCACTACGTATGATGTGGATCTGGTCTTGCACGTACCCATATCCCAATTTCTCATGATAGTGTCGTGTGGGAAAATCATGATTATGGTGTTTACACTATGCGTTCGGTATATTGGTGGCTTCGAAAGCAAACTCATACTATTGATGCAATACTCAGGTTATGGAAGCTTATTGCGAAGTTAAAAGTGCTTCCTAAGGCGCGTATCTTCACTTGGAGACTGGCATATGGCACACTTCCTGTTGGTGCTCGGGTGCGAGCACCTGTATTGGGTGATGGTCTTTATCCTCTTTGCAAATTAAAGATTGAAATGGTTATGTATGCTGTTAGAGATTGTTGTTTTGCTCAGTATACTCTACACCTTGCTGGCATACCGGGTTCGGTTCTTACTATTAATTCTATATCTCCGTTGTTGTGGTTAGAATCTGCAGTTGATGTGCTTGGATTGGATGATTTTGCAGATTTTATTATGTTGTTGTGGAACATTTTGAAAGGAAGAAACAGATTGGTTCATGATGGTCGGCTTTAACCCCCATGAGTACTAGTTGCTAACGCTAGAACACTCCATTGGGACTTCCTTGTTTTGCAACAGACAACTCCCACGCCTTTGCCTCGTTATGGTGCTTTGGATAAATGGATTACTCCAAGTGGTGATATTATAAAATTGAATGCTGATGCAACCTATAATCATATCATCAGACTAGATGCGGTTGGACTGGTTGCCAGAGGAAAGATCTTCGGTGGTTTGGCGACTACATCAACTGGCTATTTTGATTCGGGGTTAGCGAAACTACACAGCCTTGCTGCTGTTGTCAACCCTCCTTTGGAAAAAGGATGACAACGTATCTCTATAGAAATTGATTCAACAATGGTAGTTAGAGGTGCACAAAAAATCCGAATATCAGATTTTGTGCAAAAAAATATCCGAAACTGGATTTTGGAAAAACCTGTTTTTTTAAAACCGGGGCGGATATTTTAAAACCGGATAATATAACCGGTTTGGGAAAAAATTGGACGATCGGTTTTTTTACCGGATTAAAAACCGGTTTGAAAAAAACCGGTTAAAAAACCTATTTTTTATCCGAAAAAAACGGTATTGGTTTAAAAAACTAGCCGTCTGAGGGGTTTTTGTGACCATTTTTTTTACATTTTTTCTAAAAAAAATTACCATTTTACCACCCTAAACATGTATAAATAGGTTGGAGATATATTTGGTTGATTACAACTTTCTCAAATCTTATTACACAAAACCTAAACATATATATATCCTTTGATAATGCATCGAATAATACAACCGCGGTTCCAAGATTGAAAATATTACTTTCACCGATTTTAGACGTTGCATTTTTTCATACCCATTGCGTTGCACACATAATTAATTTATTCGTGCAAGCCGATTTGGAGGTTATTGAGCTGATTAGATTAAAATTTAAAGCAATGATAAAATCGGTTCTTTGTAACAACAACAAAAGACTAAATGATTTTATAAACGATTTTGTAAGTGTGTTAATAAAAAAGCTTTGGGTCCTAATTTGGATTGTCTAACTCGTCGAAACTCAACTTGGATGATGATGCATACCACCTTAAGGCAAAGGGAAACATTGCAAACATTTCACGATCAGCTTTTCGAGAGGGGTCATGTCCCAAACATTTATCCTGATTCGAGTTGGGAAACTATAGTCAAAATAACCGATTTGCTTGAGGTTTTTAAAAATGCAACAACTTTTTTTATCCGGTGTTTATTACCCTACTAGCCCATTGGTTCTTAATCAAATATTTTTGTTGGCTACCCGACTAAATGACTTTGAATTTGAAACCGAGTTTTTCAAGAAATTGGCTTTGCAATGAATGAAAAACTTTTAAAATATTTTAAGGAGATTCCCCCATTTTTACTTGTGCCGCCGCTTTAAACCCAACGTTAAATGTTGGCGAGGTTGAAACACTAATTGAACAAATTGTGTTTGCTTTTAATCTAACCGATGATGAACTCAACTTTGTCCAAAACCAAATAAATTATTTTAACAAATGTTTTCGAGACATGTTTGCAATTTATTTAACTAAATACAGATCAAGTAGTGTAATACATGATCAAATGAGAACGAATGCGGAATCATCTAGTAGACGTCCAAGTAACATAAATTTGTCACTTTTTAACACTCTTGTAAATTCTCAATCCAAACGATCACGTACTACCACCCCAAGTAGTGAGTTGAGAAATTACATGTCATGCGATTTTCTATCAAAAATGACATTTGAAGAGTTTGAAAGTTTGAATATTTTGGCTTGGTGGAAAGAAAAGGAAGCACAATTTTCTATTCTAGCCCGTGATTTAATAACCGTCTAAGCTTCTACGGTAGTTTCGGAATCCGCTTTTTTTGTTAGTGGCAGGGTTATATCGCAACGGAGATCAAGACTAAGTCCCGAGTCGGTGGAAGTATGCATTTGTTTGAAGGATTATTTGGATGGAGCGGCTCGGAAGCAACATATCACCACCCTAGAAGATGCAATTGATGCCGATTTGGAAGCAAACTTACACATTGAAGAAGTCGAACTTGGAATATCCCCTCCAAACAAATAAGGCCAAGATGATGAATAAGAGATGGTGATGTAGTTTATTTTTAAACTTTATTTCAATTATCGTAAACTTTGTTTCAATTATCGAACTTGGAAGTTTTTAAGTATTTGAATTTATTGAACTTGGAAGTATTTAAGTATTTCAATTATCGTAAACTTTGTTGCAATTGATGACGATGTAATTTTAATAATATTAAAATCGGGTTTTTTATATCCATTTTTTTTAAAAATCGGTTTTTTTTTTCAAACTGAAACCGGTTACACCATCCGGCCCTCCAAACCGATTTTTTGGCTAGGGAAAAAAACCGGATTGGTTTTTATCCGATCCGGATCGGATTTAAATCCGACTTTGTGCATGTCTAATGGTAGTTAATAAGTTCAATGGGGGATGTTGTTGATTATACATTGGGGATATCCATGATAATTGTAAACAATTTATGAGTTGTATTGTTTCTTATGTATTTAGAGATACGAATCGAGTGGCTCATAGCATGGCTAAGAGAGCACTTGATTCGAAGGCATCCTTTTTCCTTGGGACGGATTATCCGAGTTCCTTGATACTAATGTAAAGAATGATTTGTTACCAGATTAATGAATGAACGTTAAGGTACTCTTTTCCACTTATAGGACTCCAACTTTGTATTGATAGAAGAGATTTTTTAACGAGGCTTGTTACTTTAAAAAAAATTAACATTAAAAAGCAATGCTGAAAATATTCCTAAAAAGAAAGCCATTATACCCCCAAAAGAGAAAGCCTCACACTAGAAAGAAGATTTGTTCAGGGATGAAACTCAATAGTTTATTGATGTATAATATTATAATTATAGAAAGGCTTGTTCACAGTTTTATCAATTTTGGGTGGTCATGCCTTTGTTAACAGCTATAATTTAAGGGTAAACTTTACATTTAATATTTAAACTATTAGTTTTGTTTTATTTTAGTACTTAATTTTTTTTGTTTTAAAATTATACCTAACATTTACTTTTTATTTTATTTCAATATCTATCGTTAAAAATTTAATGGAACTACTACACGTGACAAAAAGTAAACGTTATGTATGCTTTTGAATTAAATAAAAATTTAGGTATTAAAACGAAATAAAATTGATAGTATAAGTATTACACATGTAGTTTACCCATGATTTAATTATATAAATATTAGTTGAAAAATATACATATTTTTTCGTTTATATAATAACTAAAAGTTTTCAATCTTGTATATAGTGATTGCTAGGGTTTGATACTGGGAATGTGTTGACCATGACCAAATAAATTTGAGGAAAAACCAAACATTGTTCAAATTTTCCATGCCTCCCATCCTTCTCTTAGAGAGGAAAATATCTTGAAAACTTCATATTATTTTACATGCGAATTAAGACTAAACCAAATCCTTAATTACAAATCAATTGCTGTGATTTCCAGTATCACTCGGAGAAGTTGAAGCACTCTTGGGAGCTGAAAATGGAAAAGCATTAGGTTGTAGAAATAACGAACTCCCAGGCTGCGCACCACCACCACCGCCACCATTATTTCCGGCGCTTATTATCGACGTGAGAGCCGCTGCCAATGCAGATTGGAAGTTTGGGTCTTTCGTGATCGCTTTGGTTGCAGCAGCGACTGTATCTGGTAATGGCGGTTGAGGATGACCTGGATGATTCTTTTGCATGAAAGATTGATAAATGTTATTCTCCACCGTCGACGGCGGTGTTCTTCCATTAATGTTGAGAGCTCCGATATGGGATTTCATGTAGGGATGTTGTTGTTGAGTACTTCCGCCATAGGTGAAGAGTCCGTTTACCCATGACACGGTGTTGGATTCCAATGAACCGAAGCTGAGACTCGTCGAAGTGTTGTATCTTGATGACGTGGGGTAAGCCGAAGAGAATCTGTTGAAAGGAAATGACGACGACGATGATGATGGTGTTGAAGTAAGGTCAAGAGTGATGGTAGGGTGGGACGAGGCCGACGGCAGTGAAGTGTTGGGCAAGTAGAACTTCGGTTTCGAGTTATCGGACAGGTAAATGTTGAGTCCATGGAGGGCGGGGTGGGAGGAAGTCGAAGAGGGAACATAGGAGCCGGCCGACGATGTTGAACCGGACAATAGCATGGAAGCCGCCGCACAAGTGGTGGAAGCCATTGCGGTGGCCGACATTGGAAGTGGATGATTGTGAGTTCCTTCGTATGTTGTGATTAAGATGGACATGTCTTCGGCATATCTTTGAACCTGTTTTCTCACGGGGCAAGAAGGGGCAACTGTGCAACGATAATACGCTCTAGGACAAGGATTTCCTTTAGCAATCTTCTGTCCATATTTCCTCCATTGACATCCATCATTCATCTGTAATCACAAGGAAGCTTGATGTAAACATGAATAACACGTGAAAAAAATGTGAACGGTTGAAGTATATATGCAGGTACCGTGGGAGTATCGCATCTGGTTCTGACGCAAACCCTAGCTTTCTTGGCAGGGTTTTGTTGCAAGACTTCATCGTCTCCTCCACTTTTGGTTGTCTTGACAACTTTTCTCGGCGGCCATGTTTCTTCTTCCTTTTGTTCTTGAGAAATGTTCACCGGGATCGGATTCGGCAACGGTTCATCGTCTACCTCGGACTTAGAAGCTTCGAATTTGTAATCCAAAGCGAGAGATAAACCTTCATTGCCTCTCATCTCCTCCGCTTTTCGATGGATGCTGCTGCCAGATGTTTTGCCCTTATCTTCTCTTTTCGAGTCACTCGAGAATCGTCCGAGTGTAAGGGAAACAAGCTCGGGTTCTTTTTCTTCTTCTTCTTCGATTTGTTGGTGTTCATCGTTTGGTGGTGCTAGGGATTTCTTTGAATCTTGCCCAACGATGTCGTAGAATTGCATTTGAAGCTTCTGGTAATCCTTCATTATCCGATTTAGATACATCTTTAGCCTTTGGTTTTCTTCTCTCACCTCTCCCATCTCAGATTTGGCTGATTCAAGTTCATCATCCTATTTCCATGTACATAATTTAATTAATCATATAGCCTTCATTGCTTATCTTCTAAAATTTTAGAATGAACCAAATTATAAAACTCTAGAGGATAAAAACAAATTATTGAATAAAATTTCAAAAATTATTTAATTTGAGATTAATCTAACCTGGTCCTTTCAAGATGTCCATTATTAGGATTATAGCAATTAGAATAAGATTAAGATAAATTTTACCACAATATAATAAAATATATTATTATTATTTATTAATCGATATTAATAATATTATTTTTACAACAGTATTATTTACTAAAAATATGGTGATCATTCTCGGTTCTAATAGATATTACTAAAACTAATCAAAATATTAGAACAACCATAGCAAAACTATTTATTAAATGACTAGTTGTAAATATACATATGTAAAGTTGGGGTTCTAATGAGTTTACCTTGTTGCTGCTGCTTAGATCCTTTTTCCCCGGGGAAGATGGCTTCGTATCAGCATTTTCACAGTAGGGTCGTTTATCTCCTGCCTGATCAAAATTAATAACATCAAATATATATTAAGAATCCAAAATTTAATCTTTCCCCTTTTCTTTTTTCAAACACGAGATAAGGCCAAAACATTTCATTTATCCAAAGAAGAAACATAACAAAAACTGTATATATCCGCCATTAAAACATAGAAAAAGCTGTATTTTTTCACCTTGGGAAGAACAGCAGCAGCAGATTCTTCATCACCAGAAGAAGAAGAGTCGGCTGTCTTCTCTTTCTTTATCTTCATCAAATTCTCCTCCATTTCAACTTATTTTTTGGATATATTAAAGTCTCTGAAACCAAGCAAGTAACCTTTTCTTTTATAGAGAGGCTGCTGTATTTGACTCCATTTTAACCTTTTTAAAAAAGCCATGAAATCTAGTTGTATATCAATTATTTTATGTAACACAATGACTTCATAAATGATGCTAAAAATAAACAAAATGTCAACAAAACCCAATCCAATTGTATTAAGAAAAAAGAAGAGATAATTAAATGAAGTTCAACTCTTTTTAGATAACATGTCAAGGGGTAAAGGAGAACAAAGAAAGAGGGGCTGGAGCCGCAAGACACGGTCCCCACCTATTGTCAAACGATGCTACCATTCGTTGAACTTTCGTACTTTTCATTGCAAAACGTCACATGTGCCTTTCGGATTATTTTCATGGTCAAACTTTTTTTATCCTAACCCTTCTCTTTTTTGGTTACCTACGAAATATATCCTAAATAAATAGAGTCGACCAATTCGATCTAAATATACGAGTTCGTATTTTATTTTAAAAAGTTGAGTTTCACTCGGGTTAGGAGTATTTTGGGTTATGATTGATTCGAGTTTAGAGTGAAATATTTAATTAATTTAACTCTACATATATCACATCCTGGTTGAATTATTAATTTATTAAATTAAATTTAAATTAGGATTAAATTGATATAATATATAAGTATTAAGGACTAAATATATAATTATATCAATTTTATTCATTGTTTAATATTAACGACTAATGGCTTGATTGGATACAATTAAATAATTAGGTAGTCTGATTGATAAATTGAAAGATAGGTGGTAAAAGTAAAAGGGTTAAACAGTTAAGTGATCAATGATATAATTTACCCTAATTAATTATATATATAAGTCATGTTAGGTTTTCAGATCAAATGTAGTCCTCCTAAACTCGGGTCAGGTCGAGTGTAAGTGGATGACTTTAGTTTTGCGAGTCTGGTTAAGGAAATTTTATTTTTCCTTAATGAACCAAGTTCAAACATCATAACTTACACGAGTGTGTGAGTTCATATCTAGATCTTTTTAAAAATATTTAATTATAATTTTTTTCTAAAATATATATTTGTTTTTATAATATTTAAAAATTAAATCTTTATTCATGGTATTGAACGTTTTATCATTTCGTCCGATGAATGTTGATAAAGTTCTTTTTTTTAATGCAAAATAAAACAAAATACCAAATTATTCAATTAAAAAACATATGATGCATTTAAGAAAATAGTGTTGCGATTGACATTTTTTGGTGTGCAATTGAAATTGACATATTTGATGTCTTAATTTTATAGTATAAGAAATTAAAAGCATCAAATGACATAAACTAAATTTGAAAAGGGTAAAATGCACTATTCTCATTAAACTTTATATCTCTCCTACTTTACTCACTATACTTTCAAGTTTTCTAATTTACTCACTAAATTTTTTATTTGCTTATGTTTTGATCCTCTGAATTATTTTATTATTATTTTCATATGACGTGACATTTTTCTATTATAATTTAATATAAAAACAATTTTATTAATATTTTGAAGGTCTTGGATGGGCGATGAATATTTTAAGTTTTTTAAATTTAATTATAAAAAAATTATTTTATTATTTATTTTAAATTAGTTTTATATTAAATAATAATAATGCCACATCATATAAAAAAATAATAAAATAATCTAGAATGATCAAAACAGGAGTAATTCAAAAGTTCAATGAGTAAATTAATAAATTGAAATTACAGTGAGTAAAATAAGAGAGATGATAAAATTCAATTAAGAATGGTGTAATTTGCCCGTTTAAAAAAAACGTTTGATAACTTTACAGTTATCATTTCAACCTTTGCTTCTGCAATGGTGCATGCATTGTTTTGGTTTCTGAAAAATGCTTTGACATTTGCCAAAAATTAAATATCCTTTACATGGATATTGTATTTCACGTCTTTAATTCATTAACTCTATAAATTATAAAATGAAATAATATATGTGTTAATCTTGCTAACCTTGTTTAAAATCATATGGTGTATATTATATTATTTTTTTATATTTATTAACGTTATACTATGTTTTGATACTTAAAATAAAATATTATTTTGTTTAGAGGTATCGAGTTCAAATAATTACATTCGCAGGATGTGTGTGCTTCTCAATCAATTAAGAAAATATTTGAATAAATATTACTTTATAGTCACTTAAACTATTAAAAATATGGATGCAGTAAATTCGAGTAGATTAATGTTTCTCCATTCAAGCTCTATAGTAATTTAAATTAAAGGAAATAAATCTATATATTATAGCAATATATTAAAGTAATTAGTTTATCGATAATTTTAGTTAAATGACTAGTGATGGAGTCAGAACTAAATATTGACATGGGCAAAAATATTGAATTATTTTAAAAAATAAAAAGACTTATTAGGTATTTAAACTTAAAATTAAGCACGAACCAAACGACTTCAATGATTAAGGGATTGTTGTTATCCTTGAGGTCTCGAGTTCGAGCACTGCGATGTAGGGGTTGAGTGTTCATTGTCAAACAACTGAGAGTCTTTGTACATATATTACCTTGTACTCAATCTAGATTTATATAAAAAAAACTCAAAATTCACAAGATAACACCTAATTTATCTTATATTTAAATTTAGAATGACCTAAATTGTTATCAGACCAAAAATTTTTGAGAACACGAGGTTATCCTTCTTTAGTTCGGTCATTACTTAATTAAATATTCAATAAATTTTTATATTTTTAATTTAAATATTTATTTTTACATGAATCAAAATACTATTAGACCAAAATTATATAAAATATATAATTTAAAACTTATATGACGTCATTGAGGTTTTAAATTCATTTTCTACCTATGATTAGAAATAAAGTAAATAATCTTAACTCATATGCGTGTTAGTGCAATTTAAAACTTTTTTTAATTATTTAATTTGACAAGTCTGTTTATTAATTAATGATTATAGTTCCGTTTGAGACTTTACATAATTAATGTGATTCCAAGTTGTGGTATAATTAATACACGTCATAATATACATCAATGATTAAACTCCCCAAGCTACAACTATATGGCCAATTCCGAAGCTACACGTAATTGAAACAAAAGAGCTGCATACCCGTAATTTAAATCGCATCGGATTATTGGGATCAACATAAAATCTTATGTTCGTTCATGAATAAAATAGTTGATTCGAGAAAATAATCAACTACAGTGAAATTGAGACGTATACGATTACTCTTGCAAGAAGATTTTATGTAATGGAAGAAAGCTTGACGGAGCAATTATGGTGTGAAGAGCTGTTGTTAGCAGCCTTTTGCGTGCATAGAAACAAGAGCAGTAAAATTGGATTCAGAAGAGGCAAATCTATTAAAACTAACAAATTTTGAAAGAGTTCTTTTCAAGTCTCAACGCATTTTTTTTTCAAATTCAACTTCATGGAAAATTCCAAATTTAATGCAGTATGATAATATTATTTTTTACCAGAAAATTAATTTTTGGAGTGGATGGATTATGTGACAAATTTAGAACTACAATAACTTGGATGGTGCACGTATGTGCGTATGCAAGCATATAATAACTCGCATGCATAATTAAACTATATAGAACAAGGAAGAGGGATATCAGGAGATGCATGTAGACTGAACAGGTCATACCAAAAATAACCCAATAGTCCACATGTATAATTAAACTATTTACATAGAGGAAGGAAGAGGGATGTTAATTAAATAATATATTATTAAGGATGGATAGAGGGAATCAATGGGTGGTCGTGGTTTCTGAAAAATTTTAAAATTTTAAATATATTTTTTATATTTTCTATTGATAATCTATTTTGGTTTCAATTAAAATTTTATAAGTTTGTCCCAAACATAAAATTTTGCTTATGTCCAATATGTAACACCTTGATTTAGTCTAAAGTTTAAACAACCTTAGGTCAATGCTTTGTTCTTTATTATTGCTTGTGATTGTTTATAAGCTTTACTTTATGTGTAACAAGTGGATTTTATTTTATCTTCCAAGTCAAATTGCTTAGGTTACATAATATATAATATGGCGTTGAGGAATTATGTTTAATAAAATATACCGTTAGGGACTTGGTTTCCAAACGGTCATACAAGCAATTTTAAAGTATTGAGACATCGGAAAGTTGAAGAATAATGTAGGTATACTAGTCCTTTACGTTGGGCTATATTTATACGTATGGAGGTTTAGTTCAACTATGTATTAAAAAACCTATACACTGAAACGTCGAAAGTTTGATTAGATAAAAATCTTTTAGTTTAGGGCAATACATGAAAAAATTATGTAAATATAGAACATGAAATTGAATCGGATAATATGAAAGTGGTTCGACTATTTAACGATCGTTCCACTAGCTAAGAAAATGTTTTGTTGATGGAGGATACGTTGGAGATGCTATCTCATGATCGGGAAGTGAAGATTAGTTTTGTCCGGCGTGATGGAAATGAGAAAGTAGATATGCCAACTGTTTTATCCTGTGGTTTGCCGATAGTGAGAAATACTTTGAAGAGCCCCCCATTGAAATTCTTCTAATGCTTAGGAAAGATCAAGTTCATGCTTCTCACTCGATCCAAAGTGGTAATAAGATTAACCACGAAAGGAATGAGGTTGGAACTATAATAGGTTTCCATTTGGTTATGAGTTAGTTAGGTTGTTGAGTTTATGTTATGAAGCTGTTATGCTTCTGTTATAGTCGGTTGTGTATGCTCATAAAGCTATAAGTAAGCTTGGTTGTAACAATAGATGTATCTTTCTCATTAACAAGGTTTAGAGAGCCTATTCTCTCTTATCTCCTTTTTCTATTCATTGAGCTGTGTTTGTGAATCTTGATATGGTATCATTCGCCAATCCTGGTGGTTGTTTCTTCCACTATTAAACTGTTTCTTGATTCATCTTTTTCATCATGGTTGATCTAATTGTAGATCCAATTCGAGGTTCTAAAATCGCGTCTCCGAATACCTCTCCCATGAGCTCGATGACAGTTTCGTTAGGGATTAATGGGATTCAACATATTCCTAAGAATGATACTATCAAGCTTACCGAGAGCACCTACCTTCTTTGGAAGCATCAAGTTACGTTGATAGTCAATGGCTATGGATTGACAAATTTTCTTTCCAGTGATGAAGTTCTACCAGATGAGTATGTTGCAAGTGTGTCTGGTCAGACTAAGGTTAATCCGGCTTTCTTGATTCATGGGTAGCAAGATAAATTGCTAGCCTCTTGGTTGCTCACCACGATTGGGACTGAGGTTCTTCCTCATCTTACTAGTTGTACAACAACATTCTCCATATGGTCTGCTGTTTCTCAATTGTTTGGTGCTTGATCTTCTGCCAAGATCTCAGCCCTTAGGCATAGTTTACATACTAAAAGTAAGGCTGGGTTGACTATTAGTGAGTATCTTGCAAATATTAAGTCTATCTGTGATTTACTTAATGCATATGGTAGTGTTGTTACTGAGCAGGAACATATGAGTGTTGTTCTTGCTGGTCTCTCGATGGAGTTTGAGTCAATCATCGATATTGTATCTCCTGAGAGTTTTTCTTTGGAAATTCTGACCGATATGTTAATGGATTGTGAGGCTCGAAAGAAAGTGTTCTTGAATGAAGGTGCTGCGGCTAACTTGATCTGTTTACCTAATGAGGTATAACGTTGAAGTGGATGCTAAAGAGAGTAATGCATCACAACTGCATTCAGGTCAAAATCGAGACTAGTAAGGTGGCAGTTATCGTGGTTGAGGCCGAAGACGGAATTCAAACAGACCTCAATGTCAGTTGTGTGGTAAGTTTGGCCATGTGGTGCAAAAGTGTTATCACCGCTTTGAGCGTGATTTTACTGGTGTAACTGGAGGTGAGGAGCAAACTGGTGATGTCCAGAAACAATTTACTCGAATAAATCTAGTCAAATAACAATCTAGAGGGGAAGTGTTCTCCCATACAATTCAGCCTTTCTTGCCCATTCCTCACCTATTTGTTCCTTATTCACACCCACCGTTGTTTTACTCAACTGGTCCTGGTTTACCAAGGATGACTAGTGTGCCTCATGTCTCAGGATATTATCAGTTTCCTGTATCTTCTGGGCAACTATCTTTTGCTTCTATGGCTCCTACAGTGTTTAACTCTTCTATTTCTCCTAGTTCAACTCGCTCATCAGTGCCTCCATAAACTGCTTGGTATCTTGATACAGGTGCTATGCATCATGTCTCAAATGATCTATCAGTCTTTGACTCAGGTACTATTTATACTAGTGTGAATACCTTACTCATGGGCAACGATGAAGGGGTCAAAATTGATCATGTTGGTCAAGGTTTCTTACATACGAGACAAAAATCTTTAATTTTATAAAACATGTTGCATGTTCCTAATATTAAGAAGAAATTGTTATCTGTCTCACAGTTCATGCATGATAATAACGTTTTTCTTGAGTTTCATGCTTCTTAGTGTTTTGTGAAGGATGCTCAGACCAGAATGCTTCTTCTTCGAGGGAAGCTCACGGATGAGGGGCTATATCAGTTGTTGCCATATGGTGGTTAGGAATCATGTGACAAGCAGGAGGCAGGATTTCAAGTTCACAATGTTTCTGGTTCTCAGGATGCTTTGGAGCTGTGGCATAAGAGGCTAGATCATTCTGCTTTGGATGTGGTTCTTTTGGTTATGAAGTCTTGTAATATCTCTTCAAATAAATCTAAATTCACTCATGTTTGTACTGCATGCATGCAAGGCAAAGCACACAAATTGCCTTTTTATAAGTCTTTAACTGAATACAATGAGCCTTTTCAATTGATTATGTCTGATGTTTGGGGACCTGCACCGGTTGTTTTTTCAGATTGTTTTGCTTACTATGTTTCATTTATTGATATTTTTAGTCGATACACATGGGTTTATTTACTCAAACGTAAATATGAAGTCATGCAATGTTTTCTTGACTTTGTTAAAATGGTTGAAGTTCAATTTGGGTATAAAGTCAAGATGTTGCAGTTGATGGAGGTGGAGAATATTAGGCTCTGAGGTTTTGGTTCAGAACAAATGGGGTTTTGCACCGTATATCATGTCCTGGCACTTCTGAACAGAATGGTAAAGCTGAGAGGAAACATAGACATGTGGTTGAAATGGGTCTTGCTTTATTGTCCCAAGCCTCGTTTCCATTAAAATTCTAGAGCTATGCCTTTGTCTCAGCAGTATATATGATAAACAAACTTTCTATGAGTTTTCTGAGTGGTCGATCTCTGTTTGAAGTTCTTTATAGACAATCTCTAGATTACTCTCTTATTCATGTGTTTGACAGTGCTTATTTTCCTTGTTTACACACCTTTAATCAGTATAAACTGCAAGTTCGTTTTCAAAAATGTGTATTTCTTGGTTACAGTTCTTCTTATAAAGGTTACAGGTGCTTGGATGATTCAGGCAAGATCATTCTCTCTCAGCATGTTGTTTTTGACGATGAGGAGTTTCCTTATAAGAGAGCAAGTTGTGTTGATTGCTTGTGTACTCGAGGTAAGTCTGATGTAACCACTGGTGTGATGCCTGTTGTTATTCCTGGTATTACTAATGGTTCTACTCATGATCTGGACATAGTAAGGAAGTAGCTGTTACATCGAATAATGAAAAAGTATTTCCTTGTAATGATGTTAGTTCATCTACTACCAGGTCTCCTACAGCTTTTGTGATTCCAGAACGTGTGGAACCACCTAGTACAATTCCTCCTATAACTTCTGTGTTTTCAGAACATGTAGAGCAGTCGTCTGCTGTGTATGAGCCTATTTCTTTAACTGTTGAGCATGTTTCAAGGCCAGTACCTACTTCAGAGGACAATATACCTACCTTAGGTAATCTTCAACCTACTCCTCAAAATTTTCATTCCATGCTTACGAGAGGGAAAAATGGGATTCCATACCGAAGGCACTTCAAGTTGCCTATTTAGAGAATGAACCCTATTCTATCAAGGAAGCCATGCGTAGTCCTCACTGGCCTAAAATGATGTAAGAAGAATATGAAGCTTTTATGAAGAATGAAACTTGGTGATTAGTTCCTCTTCCCAAGGGATGACAAGCTGTTCATTGCAAATGGATATTCATGGTAAAAAGAAATCCATATGGGACTATGTCTCGTTACAAGGCTTGCCTCGTAGCCAAAGGGTTCCTTCAGCAGGCTGGAGTTGATTTTTATTAAGTATTTAGTCCAGTGGTTAATCCAACCACTGTTCGTGTAATTATCTCACTTGCCTTATCCAAGGGATGACAACTTCACCAAGTTGACATCAATAATGCATTTCTGAATGGAGTGCTGACTGAAGAAGTTTACATGAAGCAACCGCCTGGGTATGAACAAGGAAATGAAGGGTTGGTGTGCAAACTTAATAAAGCTATCTATGGCCTGAAACAAGCTCCTTGAGCATGGTTTGATAGTCTTCGAATGTATTTGATTTCGATGGGATTTGTTTTGGCACGATCAGATTCATCATTGTTTGTTAGAATAATGCTGTTAGCATAGTGTATATGTTAGTTTATATTGATGACATAATCCTAACAGGGAGTAATGCAGATAAAGTTCAAAGGGGTGATCAATGACTTGAACAAACAATTCTCCTTGAAAGATCTAGGCTCTCTTAGTTTTTTTTGGTATTGAAGTATGCTATGATATTGATGGGTTAGTTTTGAGTTAAAAGAAATACATTCGTGAATTGTTGGAGAGATATGGCTTTGGTGATGCAAAATAGCTTCCTACTCCTATGGTTTCTACAAGCAAGCTTTCAGCAAATGGTGGCAAGTTCATTACAAATGGTACTAAGTATCGTAGCATAGTGGGTGCTCTTCAATATGCGGTAGTAACTCATCCTAATATTGCTTATTCAGTAAACAAGGTTTTTCAATTTATGCATGCACCATGTGATATACTCTTTCAGGCAGTCAAGAGGATCTTGCGTTATCTTCAGGATATTGCTGACAATGGGTTACGCTTTACTTCATCATCAAGACTATCGTTAACTACTTTTGTTGATGCTACGTGGGCCTCTGATGTCGATGATAGACGATCCACCTCGGGGTTTTGTATTTATTTTAGAGGGAATCTTATTTCATGGAGTTCTCATAAGCAGCAAGTCGTTGCACGTTCTACTGCTGAGGCTGAATATAGGAGCGTTGCCTCTACTCCTGCTGATCTAAGTGTGGATTATGGCTTTTCTTAAGGAGCTGCATGTTGTTGTGCATGGTCAAGCAACCTTGTGGTGTGATAATAGGAGTGTTGTAGTTGTTTGTGCTAATCCTGTGCTTCATTCAAAATTCAAGCATGTTGAGCTTGATTTGTTTTTTGTTCGTGAAATGGTGGCTGCTGGAAAGCTGCAGTTGCATGAAGTCCCAACTTATGAACAAGTTGATGATGTGTTGACAAAGCCACTCTCAGCACCTATGTTTGTAAAACATCGCCAAAAACTCTTAGTCACTCAGTTGTTTAGAAGTTTGGAGAGCATAGGGAATGTTGATCCTTAAACTGTTTAAAAGGTTGGAGAGCATAGGGATGTTGATCCTCAAATTACTATTTAGAAGTTTGGAAAGCATTGGGAATGTTGAGACTTTATGGAAATACAGAAGATGAGTGAATGTAATAGGTTTCCATTTGGTTATGAGTTAGTTAGGAATAGGTTGTTGAGTTTCTATTATGAAGATGTTATGCTTCTGTTATAGCAGGTTGTGTATGCTCATAAAGCTATTAGTAAGCTTGGTTGTAACAGCAGATGTATCTTTCTCATTAACAAGGTTTAGAGAGCTTATTCTCTCTTATCTCATTTCTCTATTCATTTAGCTGTGTTTGTGAATCTTAATAAGAACCTCTCATATTTTACAGCGTGTAGACCCGAGTGGTTAAGATAGTTAAGGTGCCTTGTCTTGGTTCAAGTTTTGTCATTGTAATCTTGTTTTGCTTATTTTGTTTGTCTTGGTGAGTTGTTGTGCTCATAGCTTACTCTTGTAAATGTTACTAGGATACTCTTTTCTTCCGACTAAATTTAAGGAGGTTTTTAATGAGATCTATGAGAGTGTTTTCCCCTTTTATAAAAAAATTATTAATATATTTTGATTGAGTTTAGATTGATATTATTGTTATAGAAGAACATATAATTAAGTATATTTAAATGTTTAATATCTATTCCTATCAAAACAAATCTTTTTTTTATTAATATGCGATAAATACAAGGCAATATTTGTTTTAAGATAACTCTTAACTATTTAACATTGAATGCCCATACCCCTGACATTCATGGTGCTCGAACCCTAGACCTTAAAAAATACTGATTCCTTTACCACCGAGGCCTTTTGGTTCGTGCCTAACAAAATAAATTTGAAGTAGAAGAATCTAATATATACAAATAGGATAATTAATTAAGTATCCCCATATATATATGTATGTATAGTGTATTTCATTTGAGGTGGGAAACATAGAGAATAGTTTAAAGGCTAACTAATGATACAAAGTCAGCTTAATTTCTCACTTTTTTTCTTTTCAATTTTCTTAACTTACCTAACAATTTATGGGCCAACAACAATTACGACTTCCCTTTAATATATAAGATGGTTTGTTTAAATATCTATAAGTCAATGGAAATTGGCTCCAGGCTAAATAAATCATAATTCACATATTTTTTTTCGAACATTTAAAAATAATCGAATTTAAGGACTGTTATTGAGGAAATAATCATAAACTCTGAATATAAATTATAAAATTAAAAAAGAAAATACAGGAAGTTAGACAATGTAGGACTTAATCATAGATAAACAAAAGAGCACAGCTCCAAACTCAGCTAGCTAAAGATGCTTCAGTACTCTTCAAGTTGAGCACTTGTGAATTGTGTGATGAAGGGAAATTTATACATGCAAAAGGTTCTCATAGAACATACAAACTCACATAACCAAAAACAAGGAGAATAATAAAAGTCCAAGGTCAATTATGAGTAAGATTTTGCATATGGACGCAACCATTAAGTAATTTATTTAATATTTTGCATTAATCTCTATTTAATTGTTTATTTATAATCAAGTCAACTTTATAAACAATTTCTAATCACTAGATATTCGTTGAAAGAAAAAAAAATCTATTTGTATGTTAAAGATTTGACTATTTATATAATCAAGAACTCGAATATATATATTGTAGATATTTCTTAGGACATGTGATGTAATTCAAAAAGGTCAACGGGTTATACACATATATATTCTTAGTTTCGACGTATGAGAAATTATAGTTTATATACGAAGTCAATTGTGTTATATATAATTTGTATGCGTTGAAAACTTTTATTCAAACAGTCTTAGTAGCTAAAAGTTCCTCTCGTCTATGCTTTTGCGTATTTGTACATAAACTATAGGGAAATTGTTAAGGTCAAAGGTATAGAATCCATATATATATATATATATATATATATATATATTGACCTTTTTTCTAAACTATGTTATTTGGTTTGGTTAAGTTATATATTTATATGCGAATATTGATATACTAACAATTTTTCTTATATGAATTTCTTTTACCGACGCATGATATATTCTTTTTGGTAAAATAACTTTCATATAAGTGAAATTAATATATATTAGGGTGCTAACCCTACATCTTAAACCAATTAGATTATTCATAAATTTTATTGACCCTCAATATCTTTGGAAGAAATCTTGAAAGTGTTATTGTAGAGCTGATTTTTTTACTAATGTTGTTAATTTATTTTATAAATAATATATAATTTAGGCTTACAAGTCAATAGAATCGTTTTGAGGTCTTTCCATCCAACCCATTTACAAAAAAATTGATCGTACCAATTGCCCTTCTTCCCATATTATCATGTATTGTCCAAAGATTTGAGAAAATATAAATGACGATAAGTTATTAATTTATTATTTTTAGGACAATCTAATGTGATTGCCAATCGGATGGCATAGTAAATTGAGTCGTGATAAAAACTAAAGCATTCATGGAACAATATAGCCATGTATGTTTCAGACATACGTCGATCGATTATCATTAGGTAATAAAAAAAAATTAGAATGGGAAGTTTTCTTGTACCCAAACTTAATTTAAGACTAAAGAGCAATAAAGAATAGACACAACCGAAAATGTTATAAAAATATAACATTTTCGGTTGAGCACAGATTAAAATGTTAATCTTTTAACACTTTCACTAAAACTGAAAATATTATAAAGAATGTGTTAATAAAAAAAAGTGTAACTGAAAAATATTAATAAAAGATTAATATTTAAGTTACGTAAACTTAAAATATCATACTTTTTATAATATTTTCGGTTATAAGTATTTTCTTATTATTTCTTAATCTTAAATTGGGATGTGATCAGTGCAAGGACAATCACTGCTAATAGAGAAGAAACAAATGTCGCTTTTGTCGGCACCCTAACCCCTTTTTATGACAAAATGATAGACATTGCCAAAAAAGAAATTGTTGAGAGAGCTTATCATTAAGAATGTCATAAAAATTTTTAAATGAATCGAGTTTGAACAAATAATGTTATTTTTGTGTTCGTTTATTTATTTTTGAAGATGTTTATATTCGTTTAAAATTTGAATATTGTGTTCATATTCGTTTATTTATTTTTGAAAGTGTTCATGTTCGTTTATTTATTGTTCACGAACATGTTCATTTAATGTTCGCAAACTTGTCATTTATATGCTCACGAACGTCTTCATGAACATGTTTGTTTAGCGTTCGTTTGATGTTTGCAAACGTGTTCGTTTATATGTTCACGAATATGTTCGTTTAGTGTTCATTTAGTGTTTGTTTAGCATTATTTTAGTGTTGTTTATCGTTCATTTACATATTTGATTTTTAATTTCATTTGCAAGCTAAAGAAAAATGATAAAATTATGACACTAGTGCTTAAACTCCTTAAAATTCATAGTTTAAAATGCAACTTTTATCATATTTTCTATTTAATCCTTATCTTCACCAATATTTAAAATGTAAAAAATAAAAGGAAAAGGAGAATCGAGTAAACGAGTTTCTTCATGAACATAAATGAACAAGTTAATAAACGAGCTTATAAACAAACTCATAAACGAGCTTGTTCGTGAACATAAACGATCCGAACACACCTTTGTTATTGGTAGTTCGTTTATTAAATGAACATAATTTTTTTGTTCATGTTCGTTTATTTAACTTAACAAATGAACATAAACGAACGTTATACGAACGGTTCACGAACAATTAATTCATCGAACGCTCTGTTCATTTACACCCCTAATAAAAAGTGCAAAGATGGAAGATTCAAATAATACAAGTATCTAAGTTGCTTCTACTAAAGAAAAGTGGCCTGAAATCCATGTGCTTAGCCACAGATCGCTCCACCTAACCAACTCAAATTTTTACCCAGCCTCAATCCTTATACTTCCCCTACTATCTGACACCAAATTATCACCGTCTCTTAAACCAAGCTCTCACACGTAAACACGTACTCTAGTAGCAAAAACTTGTACACACAAAAAACACGTAATAAAAGCCTCCTGTTAATCCAATTCCAACGGTATATACCTCAAAGTTTAGGGATGATAAACTTGTAGCTTCAATTCATTGAGTCAAAAAAGTCCTTTTATCGTAAAGATTGTGATACTAATGTCACGTGCGACTATCACTTGGGAAACTAAAGTTACTTTGTATAAAATTGTGAGGCTTTAAAACACAGTAAATTTTTTAATTGAAATCGATATTATAAATTTAACAATTAATGATTCATTTGACTAGGAATGATGACTTTGTGATGAATTCGGGTTTACAAGAAAATAATAGTACTTAACTAGAATGATGGATGTGAGACATAAATGATGACACTTGTCATCCGAGCCCTTGCATTGAAGATTTTGCTTGGTCTTATTTTGTTGCTTAAATGCTTTCGTTATATCATCTTATCTTTAATCAAATGGATACCGTATTCCAGGCTCTAGAAAAGTTTCTTTTTCTTTCTTTTTTTTTTTAAGTTTTTTTCTTTGAAAGAATGCAATTTTTAAGTTCAGATTTATAAACCTTTGATATGTGATAAAAATATAACATTTGTCTCATGTTATGTTATGACTCTTATATATATAAAACTAACATGTCAACGAGTATTGACACAAGTGGTTGAGATTAAAAAATTTGAGGTTGTAAGATCAAGTTTGAATCTAACCACCGTTATTCTTGGTGGGTAACCTGTAAA